ACCAGTGATGGTGTTTTGTTTTATCCAAGCTATTCTTTTCAGAGAGAATGAAAAATTCTCTAGTTGCACTTTCTTTTCTTTGGGACCCAAGTCCTGGCTAGTGAATATGGCCAGGTACTCCTGGATTTCTCTGATTTTAAAAGAGAGAAAGGAAAGAAAAAAATCACCTTTATTTTGCATGCTTATGTCTGGTAATCTGAGGAATTTATTTGAAGACCACAGTATGCAATACAATAGTCATTGAATTCCTACCATCTTGTCTAGTGAAACTCTGTATCAGCTCTAATTTTTTTAAATTAGTATTTTTTATTCTCTTTAGTCGTTTGATCAACCTTGCATTCTTACATCTGGTAATCTGAGCAACTTCATTGAAGATAACAATATGTAATATAACAACCACTGTTAATCCCTATCATTTTCTTTTCAAACCCTGTATCATCTTTAATGTTTTTGCTTTGTCTTGGTTTTGTCTGCGATGAGGGTATTTTGCTATTGTTCTTTTTTTTACACTTCTCTTTAAAATAAAAACAAATAAATAAATAAATAAATAAAAGGTCATGTAGTTTGTCTACAGGACAGAAATCTTTCTGTATACACTGGGGCAGCAATCTCCAGGTAGAGATATTGGAATGCCCTGGGCCAAGAACTTTTTTTAGATACAGTGGTCTACGATGGAGAACTGCAATGGGGAATTAAATGGGAAATCAGAATAGTGGGATAGATTTCAGTCCGGGCTACATTATGACCTTTATAAGCTGAAGATCCTTGTGCTACCATGGGCTTCTGTACTGTAATAAGATCAATATTAAAAATTTTATTTCTGTGATTCTAACTAGTGCAACATTTTATAGTTTTCCACTGTAGGAAAAACATAACAGAGCTTGAATGCCCTAAAAGTTGTATTTATTTTCCTGGTGTCAGAAAAAAAGAAAAAACATTTTCTTTGATCATAAAAATTGTGTTTTAATTCTGATTTTAAATAATGGAAAATACTTTATGGGATTCTAAAAACTTTTGTACTTGTGACCTGCACTGCCTGTGCTTAAGAGACAGGAAAGCCAGTTCTGCAAAAGGAAAAGTCTTTAGCCCTTAGCACTGGAGAAGCTGCAGAGGAACCCTGTTTAGGGGAGCTCTACCTCTAACCCCAGGCCTGACTGGCTTCTGCTGACTGGCTGCAAAGTACCTTCTGTTCGCCATGTGTTTGATACCTGTTTCTCTGCTTTCCTGGTCGATGTTGCAACTGGAAGGACAGGAAGGAGCAATGGCCTAGAATCCTGAAGACTATAGAAACCTGGTTTCGTACTTTTATTTTGTGAAGCTACGACCCTGGGCAAGTGCTTCCCCTCTACACATTAGGTCCTGAGTTTGGAAAATGAAGGAGTCAGACTAGACTAAAATCCTCCAGCTGCAATTTATACCCCACATGTTCTTGAAATATTATTAGGAAATGTCAAAGAGAGATAAATGAAGTATAGAGGAAGACAGTTATACTTAGATCAGATCTTATAAATAAGTTGTTTACAGCAATACTAAATAAAACAGCTTAGAATTTTCTGGCAACTTGGATATACAGAATCTTCATTGTCTGAGAAAAAGAAAAGCAGCACTTCTTTAAAAATTTATTTGGTCTTCATTCACACACTTTGTTTTTATTACTAAAGTGGCAGCAGTGTAATTTTAATTTTCTCAAAGGGAAAAATTCACTCACAATCACACTACCTCAATAAATCTAAATAATTTCCTTCCAGTCTTTACTCAAATTGTCATTACTAGGCAAAATTTTTGTATTTTGCTTTTTTAACTCAAGAAAATATGATCTTTAGTCCATATTAATGCAGATATTGTTTATTATTTTTGATGTCTTTAGAAAATTAATTGGATATACTTACTCATTCTTTGTCTGTTAGGTGTTTAGCTGGTTTCCACATTTCATTGCCAGTCAGAATAAGTAATTAATAAACATTAGTCTTTCCCTTCTTTAGGAGAATTTTCATTGCATGAATTCCTAGGAATGAGAAGATCTGGACACGGTGTATGGACATTGTGTTTTTCTAAGCATGGACTGTTTACTTCCCTATGAACTGTTGCTGCTTTTCCTCTCAGGCACTAAGTCCTAAAATAAATTGACTAGAGGATCTTATTTAACAATGATCTCTTTCAGTTCTGAATGGCTCTCCCATAGATCCGTTGCAAGGTCTCCCTTACCCAGGCCAAAGCAGTGGAAGGTTTGATTTAGTCTGGGTTTGTTACTGGTATTAATATGCTTTTGGCATTTCGGTGTGCAGTATATTTAGGCAGGGCTAGAAGGACACTCTTTATTGAACTGGGATAAACAAATGGCCTGGGAAGAGTGCTGAAGGATGGAGAGGGATGCTCAGATGCCCACATGCTTCGCCTAACAGGAAAGTTGTGGAGTTTTAGTCATCATCTGTCCAAGATGTCTCTATGACTGTCTCCTAGCTGCCATCATTCTGCATTGGAATGGTTGGGCTCAACTTCCCCCCTATTTATGGCTGTAAGAATGCAAATGGAGCTGAGAGTTTCCTCTTTCCTGGATCTCAAACAGCTTGGTTTCAGAGTGCTGCGCTTCTCCAAGTGTTTCCAGAGAAGACAGCCTGAGGGAAAGGAAGTGGTGCTAATTAAATCCTCCCTCTGTTTTCCAGGCACAGGAGCCTTTCGCAGATGTCTGTTGTTAGGCGTGTGTTCACAGAGTGCGCAAATACAGAAGCCGACATTCCTTCCCCAGTGACACAAACCTTCCTTCATGGGTTACAGGGAACTTTAGAAACACATTTCCTTCCAACACCCACTGCAACAGAGGTGGCAGACCTGCATAAATAGAGCATGTAGCTGCCAGAAAGGCCAACGTGCCTCTTCTGTCATGCTGTCCTTCTCTCTCTCTCTCTCTCTCTCTCTCTCTCTCTCTCTCTCTCTCTCTCTCACACACACACTATATTTCTTTTGCTTTTCTACTTCTTCTATTCTGATAAGCCAAGCTCTGACTTTTGTGTACCTTTTCAAAGCTACCTGAAAACTCCGGAAAGTCCTCCTGTAGGGTTCTGTTGACAGGCATGCTGGACTCAGTCCATGTTTGGCGGTCTGGGTGTTTCTGAAACTATCCAAATGTGTTCCAGTGTGGCCCCTCCGGGAAGACGGGATGAAGTTAATAACCCTTCTGGGGTTTCCAGGGGATCAGATGAGACACAGTATAATGAGAATTGCAGAAGACCTTCCATTGTGACTTCCCCTGGCCAACAGGGTTTTATCCTATGTTCAGACCTTGCCAAGGAGACTGTGTCTCTATCCACGTTTGTACTGTCGTGTTTGTTCCTGTCATCCAGCCATAAGTGTGAACATCATCTTTTTTATGTGAAAGTACCCTGGTTTAGGTAATCAACCGTAATTCTACCTCTCTTAAATGCTCTAGTTAGGCCCAAACTCAAGTGTGGGAACTTGCAAGGGACAGGAGAATTTCCCCGTCCTCTGGTGTTTCACAAGAACCAAAGAAGATTAATTCAAACCACCTTTGTTTGATGAAGAACAGGGACGCAGTGCTGAGAACAGGTTGGCATGGGGTGGTGTTCCCAGTCGTGTAGTGAGAAGGACTGGAAGTCTCCCTCAGCACAGCACCAGTAGCAGGGTACTTCAGGGACAGGCCACTGGCTCACTGTGAACACAGGAACGTGCTGCAGGCAAGCAGCTCTCTAGTCCTGCTTCTCCTCCTACTTTGTTTTGCTTTGCTTTATATTTACACAATAGAAATCCATGTGTTGTTTTTAATTTATTTTATTTTATATACTGGGAATTGAACCCAGGGCCTTTGCACTGAGCTACGTCCTCAGTCCATTTTAGTTACTTTTTATTTATTTATTTTTTGTTTTTCTTCCGGTACCGGGAATCGAACTCACGACCTTGCGCTTGCCAGGCAGGCGCTCTGCTGCTGAGCTAAATCCCCAGCCCCAGTTACTTTTTATTTTGAAACAGGGTCTTACTACGTCACTGAGTTTTCCAGGCTGGGCCTGAGCTTGTGATCCTCCTCCCTCTGCCTCTCAGAGTGCTGGGATTACAGGTGTGCACCACCACACACAGCTGATTATTGTTATTTTAAATCATAGATAATCATTTTTAGCATCCAGAACATGAAAACAAAATAAAAGGCACATGTAAAACAGTCATCTAGTGATAAAAACTCCTAATATTTTATGCTACTTCTTATCATATATTTTCAAATTTCTGTTGTATCATACATGCATATATAAATACATTTATAGTATTTTCTTTCTGAAAGATTTCAGAAAATGTGCATAACTTTATTCACATATTATCTTACCTTTTTCCATAATAATATCTTTTCAAAATAAAAAGGTATGCTCACTTTTGAAATGACTTCATTGTATTTAACTGCATGGCATAATACGTGTTTTAGCCAATTTTCTACTGGGGAATATTTAGTTTCACTATGTATTTTTTGGCATTGCCCTTCTACTATTTTCTAAATGATTCCCTTAGATTAATTTTTGGTATAAAAATATGCTTGGTTTTAAGGGTGCTTGTGCTTTCTTACTACCCAAGAGGCAGACAAAGAAATGTATTATCATTGTTTTTTTAGCTCCTGAATAAGCCTGCAGTGTGGCAGGCTTTCAAGCAAAAAACTACGAAGCTTTGAGGAGAAAGTATATAGTAATTATAAAATATTGTTCTTCTGTTGCTGGTCTCTTTTTCAGCTTCTGGTCTCTTAAGATTAAACTGAGAAAACAGTAGGCTTCATTGCTCCATCCAGTCTGTGCTTGGTCCGCTGGTAAATGGCCTTGCAAGATTATGGTGTTGCTGAGGAGTCTTTGCTGTTGATCCTCATGCATTAGTGGCCAGGTTTAGTTCACATGCAGGGTGTTCATCAGTTTCTGGAATGACTGTTGCTCCTCATAGCCTGCTAGGTCATAGCCAGGATTCAGATGACCTTTTTAATCCTAATGGCAGGATGGTTTATTTCCTTGTTTTAGGCTGAAGAAATGTCAACTATTGGAAGTTTTGAGGGTTTCCAGCCTGTGTCACTGAAGCAAGAGGGAGAAGACCCACCATCTGAGACAGAGCACCTGTCTGTGGAGGAAGAGGACCCAGGCAATGGCCAAATGCCTAGGCAGATTTCACGACAGTCAAGTGAGATTAAAGCAACACTTTACCCCAATCCTTATCACAAGCTATACATCTCAAGGACATACTTCGTCACACGGGTAAACTTGTTGGTTCTTTTAAATAATATGTAAAACTGCTCCTTAAAAACAGTTTTAATATCTTTCTCTATACCATGCATTTTACTAAGTGGTTATAAATTTTTAAATCTCTTGTAATAGTCATCATGATCATGATGGTGGTACCCTTATCTTCGTTATACAGAGGAAGGATCTGAACTTTACAGAAGCTAAGTCTGGTTTTAATCTCCCAGAACAGGGAGAAACAGTTTCCCCATCCTCCTTGGGTTTGAATCTTTGGTTAGTCAGTCCTGTGTTCCTGCTAAATCTGGCATCAAAGGACTAATCTTTTATGGGTAGAAAATCTATAACATAGTAGCTAGAATGCAAAGCTGTGAGCTGCTGTTTGTGTGGAAATGATGCAAGGTGTGAAATGGAAAGTGTTGCTGGGAATGGACTAAATCTCAAGAAGGCTGGTGTTACAAAATGAGATGATCTCTCTAAAATCTCACACCTGCAGCTGCAGTATGGAGCTATGTTCTTTCACCCATACAACGGAGTCCAGAACGTAAATGGTTGCATATCTTCATGTTCAAATGATACCTTAAACTTCTGGCATTTAGACAAGGGGAGAATGCTTCTTGGGTTTCTAGTATCTTCCTCTGCTGAGCTCCCTTGGCTACTTATTGATCTCCTTTCCCAGGCTTTCAGTGCTCTTATTAATATGGTAGCTAGCTGAGGATATAGCCTAGGGGTACAAGTGCCTGCCTAGCAAGCGCAAGGTCCTGAGTTCGATTCCCAGTACCAAAAAAAAAAACCCAAAAAAACAAAAAAACAAAAAACCACAGTAGTGGTTAGCTCATAGGCCACAAGTAATTGGCAGTGAATTTGGGGCATGTGGCTTGTGACAGTAGAAGCCATCTCAATTTTGTGAATACATATATTTTTCAACTCAATATCATAAAGAAATGGAGGCTAAGACTTTACGACTATTTACAAAGCTTTAACCAATGCATCTTGATTTGGTAGCCTTAAGAATATATCTTTAAGCCAAAGTTTTGATTAAAGCAACTCAGTGTGTGTATGTGTTTGTGTGTGTATGTGTGTGTGTGTGTATTAACATTATACAGATTCCTATGCACAAGGTACTTTGATATGTGTTATACTAGCTATACTATATGTGTGTTTTTATGAGTGTTTTGTATATGTCAGGCATATGATCTCTTTTTCAAAATATGTGAACTTTATTGAATATGCAAAGTTAAGTTGTGAGATAAAGCTGCAAAGGAAATCCAAACATCCTCTGGAGTTTGATTATCTTTGATATTGACGATGTCACAGTTTTATGAGGACAACACAGTAATGTAGAATGCAGGATTTATCATAGGGAGTTGGTGTAATTACGAGAGTTGGCTGAAAAGTCTGTACAAAATTGTTGTCTTTGCCCCTGGTGATGGAGCTGAAGTCGGAATGAGTCAACCAGCGAGCAGTTATGAATTGGGGATAGGGAATAGTAAACAGGGCAAAATTGCATGGCAGACCTGCAGTCCCTCATGGCAAAGTGTAAATCATGAGGGAAAATTGGATCCTGTGCCCATCCTCCACCTTTCACTGCTGAGCTGCACCCTTCGCCAGCCTAGGGGAACGCGGGTGGAGAGGGAGTCAGACTGTAGTGAAAGGAGAGGTAGGTACAGGTGCTGCCAGTTTCCGTCAAGGAGACCAGGATGCTAGTTGCCATCCATACAGCTGTCAAGAGTGCGCTGATCCTCAGCAAGGAAAATAAGTGATGTTTCATTCGTGTTTTTTGAGTGTTATACAAGGATCTCTTGTGGCCAACACTAATTTGGAATGTTACAGGAAAGGGAATTCTAGAAAATGTTGTCAGCCTAGTTAAAATGACACAGTCCAAAACCACTACCAGTGGTACTATGTGTTTGCTTAGTGCTTTTATTTTTGCGACTTTGTGTCTTATATAACAAATTCCCATCCTTTGTTTTGTCCCCTGGCAAAACACGGCACAGCAGGCAGAGGAACGCTTACCATCTTTGCCTTAAGAATGAAGGTTCTGAAACTTCAGGGAACTTCAGTCTTCTCCCCAAGTCACGTACTGTTAGTAGATGAGCTGCAGCTAGGGTTTGAATCTTCTGACTGCGAGTTCAATGTCCTGCCTACTGTGAACAATTTAGCGTATGGCTCTTTTATGAACGTTTCAGTGAAAGACTCCAGTCAGGGAGAAGAACACATTTTTCATCAGATGTGTAGAAAACAACCTTAAATTCTCAAAAACATGGGAGGGAAAACCTACTTTTATTAGTGAGTTTAATTTTAGCCAGAGATACTAGTGGGTCTGGGTTTGAGATTTCCCAAGTGTTCAGCGCTTTTCTCCTTCACGCTAAGAGACAGTATGTGAGCTCTTTTGGGTTTGTGAGCACCATGAGTGCGTGTTAACACATGAAGATAATGAAAATACAATGGCTGGATCAAATGAAATTTGTAATTAAACATTTTTAATAAATAAAAGATTCAGTTTTACGAGCTTGTAAACTACAGATCTGCTCGTGTTGTCACTGAGTATATGGGAAGGACTTTGTGTGTGCACATGTGTGTGCGTGTGTGTGTGTGCATGTGTGTATCAATTTCTTTAATTCCCTCCCCTGCAAAGTGTAAATAAGATGCCAATTTTATATGGAGGCTTATAAGTAACCAAACATTATAAAAGTTCTTAGAGTATAAGGCACATCTATAAACCATTCAAAAATGACATCTCATTTATATTATGAATCCTTTCTGGGTAATTTTTGCTTATGTTCACATTTCTATGATTAATCATAAGAATGGCACTAGAATGACATTTATATCTCACCATCACCTCCAGGGTGAGATACAAATGTCGCTATGTAGGAGCTGAGTAGCAAAGAGGAAGCTAGTTTCTTTTTCCCAAGGGATAATTAGCATGACCAAGATCAAGCCAAGGCATTATCCAAAGGATAATTAAAATGACCAAGACCCTTAAAGTTTCAGATCTATGAAGTTGCCATAAAGTATCATTTCTTAGAGTTGAAATGAGAGCTAAGATGCTGTAGTCCAGTGCTTCTCAATCTTTGCCATGTAAATTAATTAGATTCTGCAAATCCTCTGGCAATATGGAGATTTTCTGTCCACAGACTACACTCTGTTCACCAAGAAGCTGCACAACTCCCCATTTTCAGGGGGAAAGAAGGCCCAGGGGGGTTGCTTCCTTACTCAGTGTCACAATAATTAGTAAACTTGGACTTGCCAAAAGGCTAGCACTTCAGTTTATTGCAGATTAAGAATTTAAAGGATATGCCTTACAAATTTAGAAGAGCAGTAAGTGAGTGAAAAAATTTCTCAGTCAAATTTTTTTTTATCAAAATGTTTAAAAATCATTTCCCAGGAAGAGGTTTATTGATGAAAAATGGGAAAATGTGGATAAGCAAAATAAAAGTCATCAGAGTCCCATGGCTCAAAGTTAACCAAAATGTACTGAATGTATTATTATACATTTGAGCATGCATCTTTTTTTACTGCTTTCTTGTATATATAATTCATTATATAAATGTGTAGTTATATGCTAAATATTATTTCCTATGACAGCAATATGCTTCATAAAATCATTTTTAATACCTCCATGATATCCTGCTATGGAGATATACTACGGTTTCTTTAACACTTGATGGAGATTTAGGTTGTTTTCCCTTTGTATCATTTCCTCTCAGAAGGCAAGTTATTCCTTGCCTTTCTGTGTCAGGACAGCAAACAATTTCGCAGGTGTCTCAGGAATAGACGACCATTGTTGTCACAAAAAGAAACAATTAAAAAGTCTCCAGCTGGATTTGCGAAAGGTTGACTGATATTGAAACATGAATTAATTCTTGACAAAAGGCAATTTTACATCACATATCTGAATATCAGATCAGAAGAGAAGTCAGTCTCTTCCCTTAGACTTCTTGTGTTCTTCTCTGGTCAGTCTGGAGGTGACTTCCTTCCCCTAGGCTTCCAGCCTATTATTTATTTACTGAAATGGGACCCCTCTGACTTAGTTTAGGAGAATTCTGCCCAGATCCAGAGAGTCCTGGGAATATGCAATCCAACCCCTGGAGTCCACAAGGGAGATGGCATATGCTCAAGGTCAATCATCACCTTTGGAACAACTCCAGGAATGGAAGACAGGTTCAGAATCAGAAACTTCTGACCTTTCCCTCCAAACTGCACTCCCTGTGACATTGGAAAATGGATTAGAGGTCAAAGGAATGAAGGCTTAAACCCCTTCTGTCAGTGTGCATGGATAACCTTTTCCTTCTGTTTTAGTTCATCCACTATTATTGCTTAGACATATCTAAAAAAGGCCCAGTTCTTACTCTGAACAAAAAGTATCCCTCCAGGCTAAAAACTGGAGGCATATTATGATAACTGTCTTAGTTGTAGAGACTGATATTCAAAAGCAACTACTTATGAAAGGAACAATACTCAATCCGCACGAGGAAAGATATTTTTAAACTCCCTATAGGACTCTATTTGCAGATACCTTATCAGAAAGTTGAAAGCGATTTGGGTTGGGGAATTATCTCTAAATTTATACTTGAGCATGTAAATTACATACAAACTAATGGGACTAAAGCTATTTGATCTTTTAATATTTAATTATTGGTTCCCCATGGCCTTTTTATAGCCTGTGTTCTATTGTGAGCCATGAGACTTTAATGAGTAGGTTCAGGACTTCCCATTGTGTCGTGAGTTGTCATTGCTTCTGTGACACTAATCTTGCTTTCATACTCTCTCCCTTTTCTTCTTCTCTTGCTATAGGGTTCCCTGTGTCTTGCTCTCGCATTGAGCCAGTTTTATTGTTATTGCCTGTGCCAGCTTCCTTTCCATCTAGGAAATAGACATCTCACAGAGCAAGAGGATTTCCCAACTCTCCTCACACTGAAATTTCTTGCAGATTTTGATAAAGATGAGTTTTCATTTTAGGGGAACACCTTTAACAATAATATAATAGGATGCATTTACTTCATTTTCAAAACGAAATCAATTTGCCTTTAGAAATCCCATCTAATTTACAGATGATTCTCACTTGTGAGCTCATTGCAAAGGGATCTCTGCATGGTTGTAAGGGCAGCCATGAGAGAAAGTTGAGTCTCTAGAACACTCTTTCATTAGCATGAGCAAGGGTGTTTGCATGACTGCTGAGCCTGGGTAGCCTAGCTCCAGGAAATGCAAAGAAACAAGCACATATATATTTGAATTCCCTCAGAAGGTTTTCTTTGACCAAAGATATTAAGTGCCAGACTATATGAGGTGATACCACTCATTGTACTATGTTAGAACATGAGAAGCTATCATTTGACCATGTTTTCTTATCTATCTTAGTTACAAGGAGGCTCAGAACTGATTGTTTGTTTGTACTAATCCTTGATCACTGAATTCTGGCATGATTATTTCCTTTTAATATTAGCAATAAGGAGATGGTGATACAGCCTTTTATCATTTAGTGTTTACTACTAGTTTTATATGCAGGGTTGCATGGCAGCTCTCACTAGCTCTGTTACAGTTACTACTATTTTATTGGTCTAGCAAACAAGTGAATTAATGTACGAAACACTGAGAGCCTTGGCCATGGATCTCATAGCCATGAGAAAGGCTGAAATTCAAACCTTGGTGTCTCAGCACAAAGTAAAGTGTTTGAACATTTTAAAAAAATTATACTAACTAGCTGAAGTAAACTTATTATAGCAACAAATAAAATTGAGGAGAGTAAAATTCTCTTTTGGAGAACCTTTCCCTTTTATGTCCTATAAAGGTTTGACCAGTACATTTACTGAGGGTAAGAATGGTGCAAGCAATGAGAACATCCACAGAACTGTACCAGCTGCCGGCCCATTTGGTAAAGAGCATTTATTTTTAGCTTTTAACTTTTTTTTAATACCGGGAATCGAACTCAGGACCTTGTACTTGCCAGGCAGGGACTTGTGCTACTAAGCTACATCCCCTGCCCTATATTTACCTTTTGAAAGGGTATATGAAATATTCTTTTTCCATTTGTAGGAAACCACTGTTAATAGTGTCTGTAGATCTTTTTAGAGTTACTTCAGGCATATACAAGCAAGCAAAAATAATGATTCTTAGCTAATCTCCCTTTTAGACAGGTGGTGGCCTATATTACCCTCTCTTCTGACATTTTTTGCCTTTCACTTGAAAATGTATTTTGAAATTTATAATAGCATAAGTCTCTTCTTTCTTTCTATACCCTCATCATATTACATCTGATTAATTTACACCATGATACATCTAACCAGTAACTTGAACATAGATATTTCTGATTTCTCCCCTATATTTGCTCTCTAAAAAGAAGCTTCAGAAGACACTTGTGCATGTATCATGTTACACATATTCAAGAATTTCTGAAATTTAACTCCACAAAGGTGGCATATCTAGATCAAAGGATAGATCATTTTTCAATTTGATAGATTTTGGCATTTACTTTCCACAGGGAATAGAAATCAGGTTTTGAAAAATTCTACATTATTATATTCATCTTCACATATTTTTGGAAAAGCTCTTGGCATGAAAACATCCAACAAAATCCTTATTTCATCTCATTATTCTCCAACCCAGCCTAAATTTTTTTCTCAAACCTATTAGTCTCACTACTGAGTTATAATTACGATGCCAAAATTATGTGAATACAGAAAGAGAAAAAAATGTACCTAAGTTGAGTCATGAAAAAAAGCATGATTTTTTATAGAGGACTTTGAACAGCAAGCTGATAGTCACAGAGTATCACAGGGGGGTGAGGCCAAGGGAAGGCAGAGTTGTCACGGGAATTTCCCTCCAGGGCAGGATACCCTTGCCTACAGGGTAATGAGTGACATTGGTATAACCATCTCTGTCAGCTGAAGTTTGAGGTGTTTTGATTGATGGCCCAGAAATTACTGATTTCATGACAAACAGGCTTCAGCAAGCCTGGGGTACCACATTACCTTTCTGCACATTTGTGAGCTAGCAGCAGACACTGAGATAAAAGTCAGAAATCATTCCGTCCACTGGCTGGTGGTTGATTCCATGAGAAACTTATTTAAGTGATAGAATCAGAAGCCTTCAGGGTAAGGGCTACGACTACATTTCCTTGAAAATTCTTAGGAAGTCTTGACCACCAGGTTGACTCAGAAAGTTGGTTTAGTCCTGTCTATCATCTCACAGGTAAAAAAGTAGAAGTTCAGGAATTGGCTCTGGTCACAGAACTAATCAATCTCAGATCTGGAATATGAACCTAGGCATCTTAACTCTATGCATTCCTGGGTGATGTCAGCTATGGGGAGTGAACTGACAAGCTGGCATGGTGAGGAGCTAAGTAGGCGAAATGCTGCACCCGTTACCCTCACTTCATCTTTTCTTCTTTTTTCTCACTTATGGGTACCCATAACAAATGGACATTGTACCTGAAAGGTTTCAAAGATACTTATCATAGTTTGAGAAAACAAGCAAAGGGAATACTGCAATCATCCTTCTTCTGGAAGAAAGAAGTATTTCAGTGGTCCCTAGGCAGGCTTGTATTTCTGTTTCCTTATATGAAAGAAGGGTCTCACACTGGAAAGATTAGGAATATCAGTATTTACAAAAGGTAGGGTTCTGGATAAAAGTTCTATTATACAGAGGATACAAATTGAAGATTGTCACTGATACAGCTCAGTTTTGGGAAGGAAGGAGTCAGTATGCTACGGACCTAACAAGGAAAGGTTTGAATTTCTTATCTGTTGCTTTTTAGTTGAGTAAATTTGGCAAGTTACTTGCCACCTATGCCCCTACTTTCCTCCTTACTCAAATAAAATGGTTTAGACTTGATAACTCATGGACTCTAGGGGTTCTCAGCCTTGGCCGAAGATGGAGAGTAACTACCAAGTCAGCCATGATTCTCATGCCAGTGGTATCACCAGAGAACTTTTCTGGAAGTCTCAACCCAGACTGATTGACTCAGTAGTTCTAAGGATGATCCCAGAAATCTGTGGTTCTGATTTGCCCTGAAATTTGAGAATCATTTTATTAGAGTGTCTCTGAACTGTTAAGATAGATATCAATTAATCTTTAAGCTAGATCTGGGTGTATAAAACAGATAAACTTGTTTGGAAAGGAGAACATGAGGCGAGAAGAAAGAATGACTTCATCTCCCAGAGTTAGGTAAAATTTACATTTTTTTTTTTATACTGGGAATTGAACTCATAACTTTGCACTTGCCAGGCAGGCACTTGTGCCACTGAGCTATATCCCTAGCGATCCAAAATTTATGCTCAGAGAATTGGGAGAGAGCTGCTATTTTGACATGTGTTCTGTAAAGAGAGAAAAGGCTTGGTTGAAAAATGTATAAATTGCTAAGGGCTTTAAATTTCTTGATAAACATGTTATGGGAAAATCTGGTCCTTTGAAAATGGGCACCTTCATTTCTAGGAAAAATTATGAGTAAGAATTTGGAAGAATTAGGATGTGTTCTGTGTATGTAGCAACACCCTATAATGAATGTAATCATTATGCGTTGCAAATATGTGCTAATAAAAATAAAAATTTGAAGAAAGAATTTGGAAGCTAGAACTTGGATCACTTTTGTTCCACCCAAGAGGCACAGGTGGAAAGCAGCATTCAAGAGTAAATTCTCTGCCAGATAACTGCAAAAACTATATGTCCTGATTAGGTTTCTGGAATAGGTGTGGTAGGGATATTCTAACTACTCATAAGTACAAAGTGGGCTCTGTCTTCTCTAAACTAGCTATGTTCTTCTTCACTCAGCCTGGGGCCATAGAAACGGCCATGGAAGACTTGAAAGGCCACATATCAGAGGTTGCTGGAGAGACCATCCAAGGCTTCTGGCTCTTGACACAGTGAGTAGTTATGGGCAAGGGAAAACAGCGAAACAAAATGAAAAGAAAACCTAAACTAAACAAACATAGCAGCTAAACAAAGCAAAACAGAACGAACACTCAAGTCTTCCTTGTTCAGAGATCAAAACCTGGGGTTACTCGTTCCTTTTGATTCTTTCTTTTAATTCAAATTATTTTCTTCATGCATGTTTGCAAAGACCCAGCCATTCAGGTCTCATGAACTGTAGTAGTTTAATAGAGAACAACTTCTCTAACCTTCCAAGACCCTCTTCACAGCACATTTTTGTAGGATGGAAAGGACGGAGCTTCGTGCACGTTGACACTTGGCTTCTCGTGAAGATGAGGAGCCTCTGGCTGCCCAGCTAGCAGTTTGAATCATATCTGCTTTTAAACAATGATTGCAGTTTTAGAACAATGAGACTGAAAGGCCTTGAAATACACAACACATTGGAAATATTTTCATATTCAAACATTTGGTTTAATTTTACGGCGACGTTGCTGGCTTTATGACTGCCACTTTAGAAATGGGAAGTGGAGACTGGGCAAGATAAAGTGACCAGACGGAGAATGTACAAAGGATGGAGCACAGAAGATATAACAGTGCCCCGTACTACCCTTGAGCTTGATTGGATTCAGCCATGGTGGCCACGTTTACACATGGTACTTGGCAAGCACTACAAATCAGAGCATAACTTCTTGATTCATTGCTTTGCTGACTGCCTAAATTTAAGAAATAGAAATATGTTAACAGTGGAGATTATTGTTAAAAATGTACCATGTCTATAGTTTTTATATTGTAATAATATCAAAATATGATAGATACAAAGGCTATTTCAATTCATCCAGAGTCACCTTTCTTATTGAAAGAGTCACCTTTCTTATTGCACACGTTACTATAGGAAGATTACTACAGAAAGATTCTTGCAGCGGTCAGTGTCTGCAGCGAGTCAGTGGTGGGACTGTGACTTGGGCCTGTTGCTGAGGTAGATTCCACCTGCTCCTCTCACCCATTTTGCTGACCCTGAGCCAAAGCTGTGAATTAGAAAAGGCCTCTTGTTTCTGCAGTATCTCTCTAGCGACCTTTCCTGAAAAGATTAACACAGTACCCACTTTAAATGAGAAATGCCCAAAGAATTCCTTTATGTATCCTAGAGTACATATTGAAGGGTGTATTTGGAGTTGTCAGGTAATAAATTGATAGCCGGCTAGTTGGGCTTTGCAAAGCTTTGTGTTTCATTGTATGCAAGAGAAATCTATAGTGACTCTTGGGTTTTGGCCTGGGAAACCGATATGTTGACTGAGCTAATATTCCAGGGTTAGAAGGAAATGATGATTCTATTTTATTGAGAAACCACTGCATGATAAACACTGTGGAAAGTACTTTGCGTACCCAGCCTCGTTAGGCCTCTAAGCAACTTTATCATTCACTGTTCACAGGACTTGGTGATTACAAATTTGCAAAATGTGCAAGATTAACTACCTACCTAATCCAGTAGGTAGTTAAATCGCAGTTACATATGGGTCCAGAGATTGTCTATACAAGTATTTTTTCAAAGTAGATAGTCTGAAATGTTTGTTTCTTATAGTAGTGCCTTCTATAAAGATTAACGGCATAAAAATAAACTAAGGAAGCCATTTACCAAGGGATGTCACACAAATTAATTCAAATGAACTACATTGTGGTGTTCTCAGTTGACATAAATATATTATGTGGTAAAATTAGAAGTCTGAGTTTGAAAGCATTGAGAAAGAAAACACAGAGAACAGGAAGAGACCATTAATATATGAAAATATATTCAACATTGCTGGCCATTAGAGAAATACAAATTAAAACAACACAGATTTCATTTCACTCCAGAAAGAATGCCAATCGTCAAGAAATCAAATAATAATAAATGCTGGTGAGGTTGTGGTGAAGAAGGAACCCTTTTACCTTGTTGTAGGAAATGCAAGCTATTAGTACAACTGCAATGTAAATCAGTATGCAGATTCCTCAAAAAATAAAAGTAGAAACTCTACTTAATTCAGCTATCCCCCTATGAGGTATCTTCCCGAAAGAGTTAAAGACATATTAGAGTGATACATGTATACAAATACATATTGCAGCACAGTTTATAATAGCTAAATCTTGAAATAGCATATGCGTCCATCAATAGGCAAATGGATGAAGAAAGTGTAGCATTTCAGTGGAATACTATCCTGTTACAAAAAGGATAAATGTGAGTCATTTGTAGGAAAATGGATGCACCCTGGAAACATGTTAAAAGTGTAATACATCAGACAAACAAGCTTGAATACCATATGGGTTCTTTCATAAGAGAAATCCAAGGTATAAATAAAAAGCAAAATAAAATACAGAGAAAAAGAAACAGGGAGATAGATTTACTGCAAATAGGAAGGGGAGAAAGATATTGAGGAGGGGGAAAATGCCAGATGGGAAGGAAAAGGAAAAAGAATTCAGATGTGTAGTGTACATGTACAAAATATGCACTAATAAATTTAGAGAAGCCAGGAAGAGAATTAGAGGGAGCAGTCATAAATGCTATCTACAATCCAGTTTAGATGAAAGCGTTGTGTATGCACCTGAAGGGGTATTAGGAACCCAGACCTCATCCTATCAAGGATATTCATATGCCCTCACAGGTATAAAAGCAAGACAGTGTTTATTTCAACTTTATCTCCTCCTCTTGTTTAGCACTTCTTATAAAGGACACTTGAAAGAAATTGTGTATTTGTTTTTAGAAGAGATCCATTAAGACAACACCAAGAAGAACATCTTGACACTCTATGGAGTCTCAGAAAGTATGATCTGATGGCAGTGAAGTAGTTCTTCAACACAATGTACTCAAGGGATCTTGGTCTAGAGTGGTTTGGGATGCAGGGGGAGATGGAGCCTTCCAGCCACACATATTAGGCTAAAGTGATGTTGGAAGATTTCCTATTTTTATTCTTCTTATTCCTGAATAAGAAGACTTACCTGTGGTGGCTAGGATCAAGGAATTCCTGCTCTTTATCTTTGTAAAAAATAATTAAAATATGTTTCATTACCTACTCCCTTCAAACCACCCAGAATCTAGCTCCTGGTGTGGTATAATAAATACTTGAAATTCAATTAACTTTCTATATTAAACAGACAGACAGTGGAAGTGAAGAAGCAGGCTGATGGCATAGTAGCCTGACCTTGGAATAGTAAGTCTTAGGTCTGATCCCTGGCTCTGCTGGTTTCTACTAGTGTAGTTGTGTGAACTTTCTTGGGGTTAATTATTAAATGTGTTTTTGTATATTTGTTAGACCACTTGAAATTCATTTCCCATTCATATTTGGTTGAATTATTACAGTTTTTTCAAGCATTTTTTCCTGAAAGTTATTCGATTTTGATAACCCTTATTGACCACTGACAATATACTAAGTGTTATAAGAAGTGCTGTCCATTTATTCCCAATTACATGGATGTAATACATGTAATTTTGATGATCTTTAAATGGTACTTCTGTGTATGTGTGTGTGTGTGTGTGTGTGTGTGTGTGTGTGTGTGTGTTTCCTGGCTACCACATAGTTTTGTAAAGTGACTAGATTGTTCACCTATTATTTAACGATTAGTTTTCAAACAGTCATTGGCTATACAAATTTGAGGGCTTTTTATTATTTTTTAAAATTGAACTGGTGAGTATGACAAGTACATTACCAGCACAGAGTAAAACTTTATGATGAGAAAGAGATCTTGAAAAATAAGAAAGATTCACACTTTTTGATAAAAGTAATAAGGGACATTTCTTTAGCACCTTGTAGTTTGAAAGTTCTGTACCTTATGTAATTTTCACAGCTACAGTCTGAGGTTAGAAGCATTATGAGCAATTTTCAGGAAGGACATCAGGGTGGGGAAGAGCATCACAGCACTAAAGTAGCAGAGAGAACTGCAAACCACTAGCCTACCCTGACTTTTGCTGGAACAGTGCTTTCACTGTTGTGCAGAGAATCTGTGTGTGCCTTGGTATTGCACTGATGCCTTCTTCTCCTGGGTGAGGGCCATCTCGTTCATATTTGTCATTCCCTGTCGAGCCCCCTGAGGTTCCTCTGGGAGAAACATGTTTGAAAAATTGAGAATTCTATTTCTTGGACTTGCTGGGGTACATGGAAGTTCTCTGGGCTTTTCTGCTTAATTTTGAAAGTTTTCCCAGAAGAAAAAGCACTTTTGATCTTTGAATAAAAACAAAGACAAGCCTAGAAAACAAAAGGATGCTGAGAAGGAGGATGCAAGGGGCTCTCTTCCAGATCCAGGGATGCCTCTCTGGAGTTCCTTGATCCCCAGAGCAGCTTCTCATGCTGTCCTCAAACAGACTCATGAGACGAGCCTGGGAGGAATAACTGGCTTCATTTTATGGATGAAGAAATTCAGAGATTAAATGACCTATACAAGGGCAAGCACTTATTAAGGGTCACAGGAGAGCTTGACTTCCTGGCACCTCTCTCTCTGCCTAGTTGTCTTCTCATTACACTCCTCTTGCTGCCTTTTGTGATTTTTCATGTCTCGGCACAGGGATCGCTGCAGTTTAAATTGGTTAAGTGATCTTTGTGCCTGTGTCTGGTTTTTTTGTTGATTGTCTTTTGTTTGCAGAGAAGCGGGGTCAGAGGTTCCTGGGGCAGGTTCAGAAACCTTTTCCTCTGCACACAGTTCTCTGGCTTGGACTGTTCATTTGACTTTATTTAGCTTCTGCCCAGAGCAACTAAAAAAAGTCAACTATCTGTAGAGGATTGTGAGCGATGCCAATGGACTAAAGTCAACCACATTTTTATCTTTTTTATTTTAAAGAGAATAAAAGAAAGAACAGCAGCAAAATGCCAAGAACATAGACAAAAGCAAAACAAAGCAAAAACAATAAGAATGATACAGGGTTTCAGAACAAAGTCATAGGAATTAACACTGGTTGTTACATTACATATTTTTATCTCTTCAGCAAAGTTGGTCAGGTTAACAGATGTAAGAATGTGGCATTTATTAA